GCCGCCCACCACTGGGAGCTGGCGCTGCGAGGCCACGTCCCGCAGCAGTCTGCCGCCCACCACTTGGAGCTGGTGCTGCCAGGCCATGTTCCGCAGCAGTCCACCGCCCACCACTTGGAGCTGGCGCTGCGAGGCCACATCCGGTAGCAGCACCATGCCGTGCGCCCGATGCTCCCGTGCGCGGGACTCACTGCACAAGGCCATCTCATAGGCCTCACTGTAAAACTCCACCGTCTTGTCTTCATGGTTGGGGCAGGAGAGGGGGCGGCCGGCCACAGCACTGAGAGGGTGGAGGTCCTCGGTGTCGTAGGCCCCATCACATGCCAGCTGCATAGCCTCCATGAGGCTGCTGATGAAGAAGTTGTTCTCCACTGCCGAGACGCCCTGCTCTGGAAGGACAGACATCTGCCGGCGCACTGGACAGAAGAGTGTCAGGCTCTGGTCAGGGATGTAGTTCTAGAGGCATCTCTCACAGAAGGCATGCAGGCAAGGCAGAAGCTTGGGGCACCGGTACTGATCCAGGCAGATGCTGCATGCCAGAACTGCTTGTCCACTGTCTGGACCTCTGGTCCAGGGTTGTCTTCTCTCTTTGCCATGGTGCCCCCACATGATTCCTATTACTCACACCAGCCGCAGAGGAGGAGGATGGGAGGACCAAGGCCCCTGACTGCCGCCACTCACAGGGGTCCGGCGCTGCCCTCACTGCCAGAGCCCATCTGACCGGCCCTGCCTGCAGCACTGCCCCACGTCCTGTGCCTCTGCCTGTCCCGGTGCCAGCACTGCTGCCTGACACGCTGCACAGGCCAGAGAGAAGGGGCCCAAGTGGGCTGCGGATGGGCCCTTTATGTATATACATATACATATATATATACACACACACATAAATATACATATACATACATATATCCATGTATATATACATAGATATATGTATATACATATATACACATCCAAAAACGAAAACCTATTGCCGTGGAGTTGATTCTGACTCACAGCGACCATAAAGGTCAGAGTAGAACTGCCCCATAGGGTTTCCAAGGAGCGCCTGGTGGATTCAAACTGCCAACCTTTTGGTTAGCAGCTGTAGCTCTTAACCACTGTGACACCAGGGTTTCCAATATATGCATATATATGTATGTGTGTATATATATATATAATATGTACGTATATATATGTCTCACTGGTTTTGTTCCTCTAGAAAACCGAGACTTAAGACGATCTCCATCCATAATAATGCTTTTATCTAATATAAATACAGCTACTCCACCTAGGTATATAGTTAACCCAACTAGCTGTGTCATTTGTTTTTATTTTTTAAATTAGCATACAGTTAGATTGATTTTGTGAATTATGTGTGTAAAGTTCAATGAATTGTAACATTCATAGATTCCTATCACCACCACCACAATCAGGACACAGAGCAAATCCATTACTCCAAAATACACTCCTGTACTACTTCTTTGTAATCATACCCTCCCCCGCCCCGGCCCTGCCTCTGAGAAACACTTGTCTGTTCTTTATCCCTATAGGATAGTCTTATATTTGAAAGAATATCATATAAATGGAATCTGTAAAAATGGCATGGCTGGGGCAGCATCTGACCTTCTCGTCTAACTTCACAACGGGGAAGGAGAATCAAGATCAACAGCCCAAGGCTGATTCCTATGAGGTGGAAGTCAGACATGCCTCCTCTCTCAGCCATCTTTACCAACTCTGACACAAACTGTCCCTCATACAGCACTCTCTACTTCTCTGCTAGGTATGATAATTCATTGCAATGGCCACACAGAACTCACAGACAATATTCACAATTATGGGGTTTATTAGGGAATTAACAGTCACAATTCAGGTTCAGGAACGTGCAGGATACAGTTCTTCAACCAGGATAGCCTCTTCTCAGCCATGCCTGCAAGCAGGTCTCTCCTTGGCCCTTGGTCCCTTGACCCCTTGGCCTGGCCTCTGCCCTGCTTGGGCAAGTGTTACAAAGCTCTTAAAACTCTGCCCGTAAGTGCCCAGAGGCACCCTACTCTGCCAGAAAGCCTCTGCATGAAGGCACTTAGATCTAGCTCCATGGGTTGGCAAATCTAGCTCCACCAAGTGCCCAGGGGCACCGCATTCCACTAGCAAGCCTCCTGTCCAAAGGCTCTCAGCTTTCTCGTTCCGTGGGCTAGGAGGCCCACTGTGCCATTTCCTGCTGGTTTCGGTTCTGCCGCCATTTCTCTGCCACTGCTTCTCACCGTCTCCAGTGTTACAGCTCTCCCTGTCTGTCTTCCATGTTACAGCTTCTACTCTCTCTCTCTGTGTCTCCCTTTAAACATAGTGGGATGGCAAAACTGACCAATCCCCTTATTATGGTTCCATACACATCATTTGCATAGTCCCACCCAGTAATCTGGTGGGAGTTACAAAGACTATAGCTAGAAGGGCCATATTAACTAATTCACTGCACCACAGAATCATACTGTAGAATTGGTGCTATTTCTTCTTTTAAATATTTTGTAGAATTTGCTATTGAAACCATTTGGGCTAGAGAATTTTATTTTCCGGGGCTTTTAACTAGGAATTCAATCTCTTTAATAGTTTTAGGTTATCTATTTTATTGTTTGTGTTTTGTTCGTTGAAGTTACTGAGGAACTGGTCTGCTTCATCTAAACTGTTCCATTTACACACATCAAATTGTTCATAGTATTTCCTTATTATCCTTTCAGTGTCTATGACGTCTGTAGTGAAATTCCTTCTTTTATTCCTGATATTAGTAATCTGTGTCTACTTTTTTTTTTACTTTGTCAGTCCTGATAGAAGTTTATACCACTTTTATTAACCTTTTCAAAGAGCTTTTGAGTTCAATGATTTTTTCCATTGTCTTTCTTTTCTCTTTTTTTAAATTTTATTTTGTTGTTGAGAATATACACAGCAAAACACAACCATTCGACAGTTTTCTACATGTTTCTTCGAGCTGTATAACCATTCTCATCCCCCTTTTCTGAGTTATTCTTCCCCCATTAATAAAAAAAAATCACTGCCCCCTAAGGTGCCTATTTAATCTTTCAAGTTACTGTTGTCACTTTGATCCCATATAAATAATTCTTAAAAGAACACAATGCTCAAGGCACACCTTTTTTTACTAGTTAAGTTAAACTATTATTTGGTTTTAAGAAGACTTCAGGAGATATTTTTAGTTTAAGATTTAAAGATTATCTTAACGCAATAGATTCAGGAGTTCATCCAACCTTCATGGCTCCAGAAAGTCTGGAGTCCATGAGAATTTGAGATTCGGTTCTGCATTTTCCCCCTTTTGATCAGGATTCTTCTATAAGATCTTGGATCAAAATGTTCAGTAATGGTAGCCAGGCACTATCCAATTTTTCTGGTCTCATGGCAAAGGAAGCAGTTGTTCATGAAGGCAATTAGCCATACATTTCATATCCTCCTCCTATTCCTGACTCTTCTTCTTTCTCTATTGCACCAGGCATATAGAGACTAATTGTCACGGCTTGGATGGCAACTTGTAAGCTTTTAAGACCCCAGGCACTACGCAATGAACTAGGAGGTAGAACAGAAGCACTAAACACATTATTAGGCCAATTAAGTGGGATGTCCCATGAAACCTTTCTGTTTTCTCTTTTATTGATTTATGCCCTCATCTTTAATATTTCCTTCCTTTTGCTTGCTTTTGGTTTATTTTGCTCTTACTTACTTGCTTAAGATAGACACTCCATTATTAATTTTAAACCTTTCTTCTTTTATAAAAGTATTTAGTAATATAAACTTCCCTCTTAGTATTGCTTGAGCTCCATCCCATATTTTTTGATATATTGTATTTTTATTTCATTCAGTTCAAAATATTTTCTGATCTTCCTTGAGACATCCTCTTTGAATCACAGATTATTCAGAAGTGTGTTATTTAATTTCCAAGTGTTTGAAAATTCTCCTGTTATCTTTGTTAATGATTTCTACTTTAATTCCATTATAGTTAGAAAAAAAACAGTGTATGAATTCAAATCTTTTAAATTTGTTAAAGTTTGCTTTTTGACCCAGAATATGGTATGACCTGTTGAACATTTCATGTGCACTTCAAAAGAATGTGTATGGGTAGAGTGTTCTATAAGTCAACTAGATCAAGTTGGTTGGTAGTTGTCTTAGTTATCCAGTGCTGCTATAACAAAAATACAACAAGTGGGTGGCTTTAACAAACAGAAACTTATTTTCTCACTGTTTAGGAGGCTAGAAGTGTGATTTCAGGGTGCCAGCTCTAGGGGAAGGCTCTCTCTCTCTTTCAGCTCTGGAGGAAGGTCCTTGTCTCTTCTAAGCTTATGCTCCTAGGCAATCTTCATGTGGATTGGCATCTCTCTTCACCCATCTCTGCTTCTCTTGCTTGTTTAATCTCTTTTATATCTCAAAAGAGATTGACTCAAGACACATCATCCTACACTAATTCTGCCTCATTAACATAACAAAGACAACCCATTCCCAAATGTAATTATAACCACAGGCATAAAGGCCAGGATTTACAACTCATATTTCTGGGGGACACAAAATTCAATCCATAACAGTAGTGCAAATCAGTTCTTCTATCTCCTTACTGATTTTATGTCTACTAGTTCTATTGATTACTGAGATAAGAGTATTACAGTCAACAACTATAAATATAGATTTGCCAATTTCTCCTTTAATTTCTGTCATTCTTTTGTTAAGTATATATACATTGAGGACTGCTACGTCTTCTTGGTGAATTAACTCTTATTATTATGCAATGTCCTTCTTTACCCCTGGTAATTTTCTCTGCTCCCAAGACTAGATTGCCTGATATTAAAATAACAACTTTCGCTTTCTTATGATTACTGTTTGCAAAGGATAGCGCTTTTTATCCTTTTATGTTTAATCTACCTATATCATTATACCTGTAGTGGGTTTCTTGTGGAGAGCATATACTTGGGCCATGTATTTAAACCCTTTCTGACAATCTCTATCTTTTAATTAGTGTTTTTAGACCATTTGCATTTAATGTAACTGTTGATATGTTTGGATTTAGGTCTGACATTTTATTGTTTTCCTTATTCAAAAAGTAAAATACTCTAATATTGTTTGCTTTGTCTTTCAATTAATTAAATAATTCATTATTTTGTAAAAAAAAAAAAACTGGAATACATATCATTCTACAAAAATCCAATTAAAAAATTATCTGAAAAGGAAGAAAAACAAAGACTTTAAACATATCCATCTATAAGAAGGAATCTTTACCTGGACCTGCAGTTATCACAGCATTTTTCAGTTCCCATAATACCCAAGGAGGCCTTTCGTAGTTGTTTGTCTTCAAAATGAGACAAGATGATTCTACCCAAGAGAAAATTGAAAATCAAATAAAAGAACAAAAAGGTTTGTTAAATTCATTGCTGTAAATAATGAGGTGAAATAATCCTTGATTAACTTGAGACCTCATTATTTGGTTTCAGTTTACTCATGCTCAAAGACAGTTGCATTAAAAATCCAGCACATATACAACACCAATAGAATAATTTTTCAAAATATGCATAATTGTTTAGCAAAGCTTTTTTCTTAAAGGATCATCATCTATAGGTCAATGCTATTGATATAAAATATATAATACATACTGTCGTCTACACCTGCTGGAATGAAGATATTTTTCCATCTTTGCCATCATCTTTAATTTGTATAATCGAAATTTTTCATTGGGTATCTCACTAAGGAGGAACCTGTCAATTAAAAATACCACAGCAATATGTAAAAAATGTTTTAGCAATTTTGATACTTAAATTTTATTTTACATAACTTACATAACCCACACTCCCATCAAGGTAAAGAACATTTCTATGACCCTAGAACGTTCCCTTGTGTCCCTTCCCAGTCAATGACCCCCAAAGAGGCAAGTATTTTTCCAATTTTTATGAAAATTGCTTTCGAAAGAAGTCTACCCAGATCCAAGCATCAATTCTTTAGCTGCCTTTGAAAAATTATTATAAAAACCCCGAAGTTTTTCATTTTGATTTACATGCCACATGCATTTTGGCTTCTAGCAAGTCTGTTGTCGTTAGGTGTCGTCCAGTCGCTTCCAACTCACAATGACCCTATGTACAATAGAACGAAACACTGCCCGGTCCTGTGCCATCCTCACAATCATTGTTATGCTTGAGCCAATTATTGCAGCCACTGTGTCAATCTATCTTGTTGAGGGTCTTCCTCTTTTTCACTGACTCTCTACTTTACCAAGCATGATGTCCTTCTCCAGGGCCATCCTTGCTTCTAAGGAGCATTCTGGTTGTACTTCTTCCGAGACAGATTTGTTCGTTCTTTTGGCAGTCTATGGTATATTCAATATTCTTCGTCAACACCACAGTTCAAAGGCATCAATTCTTCTTCGGTCTTCCTTATTCATTGCCCAGCTTTCGCATGCATATGAGGCGACTGAAAACATCATGGCTTGGATCAGGCGCATCTTAGTCCTCAAGGTGACATCTTTGCTTTTTAACACTCGAAAGAGGTCTTTTGCAGCAGATTTGCCCAATGCAATGTGTCATTTGATTTCCTGACCGCTGCTTCCATAGGTGTTAATTGTGGATCCAAGTAAAATGAAATCCTTGACAACGTCAATCTTTTCTCTGTTTATCATAATGTTGTTTACTGGTTCAGTTGTGAGGATTTTTGTTTTCTTTATGCTGAGGTGTAATCCATACTGAACGCTGTAGTTTTTAATGTTCATAAGTAAGTGTTTCAAATCCTCTTCAGTTTCAGCAAGCAAGGTTGTGTCATCTGCATATCACAGGCTGTTAATGAGTCTTCCTCCAATCCTGATGCCGCGTTCTTCTTCACATAGTTTGGCTTCTCTGATTATTTGCTCAGCATACAGACTGAATAAGTATGGTGAAAGGATACAACCTGACGCACATCTTTCCTAACTTTAAACCGTGCAGTATCCCTATCGTTCTGTTTGAATGACTGCCTCTTAATCTATGTACAGGTTCCGCATAAGCACAATTACGTGTTCTGGAATTCCCATTCTTTTTTTTAACATTATCCATAATTTGTTATGATCCACACAGTTGAATGCCTTCGCATAGTCAATAAAACACAGGTAAACATCCTTCTGGTATTCTCTGCTTTCAGCCAAGATCCATCTAACATCAGCAATGGTATCCCTCGTTCCATATCCTTTCTGAATCAATTTCTGGCAGTTCCCTGTCGATGTACTTCTGCAACCACTTCTGAATGATCTTCAGCAAAATTTTATTGCATGTGATATTAATGATACTGTTCGATAATTTCTGCATTTGGTTGGATCACTTTTCTTTGGAATAGGCATAAATATGGATCTCTTCCCATCAGTTGGCCAGGTAGCTGTCTTCCAAATTTCTTGGCATAGACAAGTGAGCACTTTCAGTGCTGTATCCATTTGTTGAAACTTCTGAATTGGTATTCTGTCAATTCCTGGAGCCTTGTTTTTTGCTAATACCTTCAGTGCAGCTTGGACTTCTTCCTTCAGTACCACTGGTTCTTCATCACATGCTATCTCCTGAAATGGCTGAACATCGACCAGTTCTTTTTAGTACAGTGACTCTGTCTATTCCTTCCATCTACTCTTGATGCTTTCTGCCTCGTTCAGTATTTTGCCCATAGAATCCTTCACTACTTTAACTTGAGGCTTGAATTTTTTCATCAGTTCTTTCAGCTTGAGAAATGGCAAGCAATGTTCTTCCTTTTTGGTTTTCTAACGCCAGGTCGTTTCACATGTCATTATTTTACTTTGATTTCTCGAGCCATCCTTTGAAATCTTCTGTTCTGCTCTTTTACTTCATCATTTCTTCCGTTCACTTTAGCTACTCAACGTTCAAGAGCAAGTTTCAGAGTCTCTTCTGACATCCATTCTGGCCTTTTCTTTTTTTGCCTGTCTTTTTAATGACCTCTTGCTTTCTTCTTGTATGATGTCCTTGATGTCATTCCACAACTCATCTGGTCTTCGGTCATTAGTGTTTAATGCGTCTAATCTATTCTTGAGATGGTCTCTAAATTCAGGTGGGATATACTCAAGGTCGTACTTTGGCTCTCATGGACTTGTTCTAATTTTCTTCAGTTTCAACTTGAACTTGCATATGAGCAATTGATGGTCTATTCCGCAGTCAGCCCCTGGGCTTGTTCTGACTGATGATACTGAGCTTCTCCATCATCTCCTTCTACCGATAGAGTCAATTTGATTCTTATGTATTCCATCTTGTGAAGTGCATGTGTATAGTCGCCGTTTATGTTCTTGAAAAAAAGTATTTGCAACGAACAGGTTGTTGGTTTTGCAAAATTCTATCATTTGATCTCCTGCATCATTTTTATCACCAAAGGCCATAATTTTCCAACTACTGATCTTTCTTCTTTGTTTCCAACTTTCCCATTCCAATCACCAGTGATTATCAATGCATCCTGATTGCATGTTCAGTCAATTTCAGCTGTAGAAGTTGGTAAAAATCTTCAATTTTTTCATCTTTAGCTTTAGTGGTTGGTGCGTAAATTTGAATAATAGTTGTATTAACTGGTCTTCCTTGTAGGCGTATGGATATTTTCCTATCACTGACAGCGACGTACTTCAGGATAGATCTTGAAATGTTCTTTTTGACAGTGAATGCACTGTCATTCCTCTTCAATTTGTCATTCCTAGCATAGTAGACCATATGATTGTCCAATTCAAAATGGCCAATATCAGTCCATTTCTGCTCAATAATGCCTAAGATATTGATGTTTATGCATTCCATTTTATTTTTGACGACTTCCAATTTTCCTGGATTCATACTTCATACATTCCACATTCCGATTATTAATGGATGTTTACAGCTGTTTCTTCTCATTTTGAGTCGTGCCACACCAACAAATGAAGGTCCCGAAAGCTTGACTCCATCCACATCATTAAGGTCGACTCTACTTTGAGAAGGCAGCTCTTCTCCAGTCATATTTTGAGTGCCTTTCAACCTGAGGGGCTCATCTTCTGGCACTATATCAGACCATGTTCCACTGCTATTTGTAAGGTTTTCACTGGCTAATTTTTTTCAGAAGTAGATCGCCAGGTCCTTCTTCCTAGTCTGTCTTAGTCTGAAAGCTCAGCTAAAACCCCCACAAGTCTGTCAGTTGGTCGTACTGTGGGGGCTTGTGTGTTGTGTGATGCTAGCAAGCCTACTACTATATATTTTACCTTTTCCCCTTAAAAGTTTATTATTTTTTTTATGAGAAACTAAAAGCATCTATGTAAGGAATACTAAAAGAGGCTAAAGTCCAAAAAGGAGCCTTCATCCCTATTAGCTCTTCAAAAGACTTCTCATCCTCCTAAACTTTCTTTGTAATCCCACAGAGCAATCTTATATTAAGGACTTATAGAGAAAAGACCGATAGCCCCATGCAGAAACATGCATATTATGGAACACCAGTAAGTCTCAGAATTAATTCCTTCCTCAAGCAATTATGACTCTGTTGCTCCAGGTAAACAGAGACCAGTTGTTGTGCCTTGGATGGCCACTTGTGAGCTTTTAAGACCTGAGACACTATGCAACAAATCAGGAGGTAAAACAAAGGCACTAAACATGTTATTAGCCCAATTAACTGGTATGTTCCATGAAACCATGACCCTAAACCTCCAAACTAAGGAACCAAATCCCACGAGATGTTTGGTTGTACAGAAGCAGCCTCAGCAGCTACTCTTTTGTTGTTGTTGTTGTAAATATATCACACAATTTCTGCCAATTCAACTTTTTACAGGTATACAGCTTAACATAGACACTGTGTCTACAAGAAGAGGATGTTTTATTGTTGCTATGTTAAGAAGAAAAAGCTACTGACACTCCTAGAAGAAAGAGCTTAAAATTTATAGCAAGCATTTTGCCTAACTAATCCCTATTCTTCTTTCAGATCTCATCTGAACCATCACTTCCTCAAGGAAGCCTTACCTGACCTTTTTAACTTTGTAAACACCATCAAAGCCCCATCATATATTCTCACCACTCATATAACTTTCTTCGGTAGTGCTTAACACAGTTGTAATTTTACACATATTTATATAATCCCTTAAAAAATGTTTATTATTGAAATTTTCAAACACACACAAAAAAGAGACAATAATAAAATGAACCCTATGTACCTATACTTGTGTGATTCTGATTACGATCTACCATCCTCATTATACTACAAGCTTTATGAAAGCAGGTACCATGTCTGTTTTTATTCACCATTGTATCCCCAGCATATAGTATAGTGCTTGGCACACAGTGAGCATTCAAAAGAAAAATGTTGAATAATCAACAAAAACAACAACTGTATCAGATAGGTACTTAGAAGTATATTTTGCAAAAACCTCATTTCGGCAGACCATCAGTTATTACAGACAGGTTTTTTCCTAAGATTTTTGTTCTCTGGATTAGAGAATCAGTTGATAAATTCTGTCCCCAAAATTTTACATGATGAAATTTTTCTTTCCAATATAAATCACACAGAACTTAAGTGCCAACAAAATACTTGTTTAGTATTTACGTGGAATGGTTTTTCCGTATTTAAATACTAAATACTTAACAGTCTGTTCATTGCCAGTACGTTAGTACAGTGCAACATGATCATTCACACCAAGTCAGTGAGAGCCGGCCTGCTCCCATGGAACTAACCAAGGAAACAAACGGTAAAGCCCAGCAGTCTGACAGGGACTGGGAGAAGTCTTAGAATAAGCCCCACCATAGTCTGGGAAGAAAGAACCGATAACAAAATAAATAGTATCTAAAGTAACTATGGCTGAAGGCATATCACAACTTGAAACAATCTGAAGAGAAAGAAGAAAAAAAAAAAAAAACAGATCATTAATGTACGGAACTAGGAATATATTTCAATAAGATCTATGTTACATGCCCAAGTATAGACTTGATTTAGTTAATTTCTTACACTAAATGGGATATGGTTGAAATTAGGTCATCTGCTCTGTCAACTTTTACCACAAATTTTCTTCTTAGGTATCCTCTGTTTTGCTTTGGCTTTAAATGCATTTTTACAAATTACTTTAAATTTTGGACATTGCCACTAATACCTCCAAAACTTATATGGAAAGAAAGAAATCTGTAAGGGTAAAACCAATAAATGTTTTTACCTATTTAAGTTAATGTCTGCTGGAGCCCAGAGCAAGTGACAAGAACTTTGAAGTCCATCACGGCCAGCTCTACCAATCTCCTGGTAGTATGACTCCATTTCCTTAGGAGCACCATAATGAATGACTTTGCGAATGTCGGCTTTATTAATGCCCATTCCAAAAGCTATGGTAGCTATGACACACTGGAAATAAATAACAGTAAAGTTCAACATATTTAGCAGAACTGAAACCTTACATTTATGCCTTGTGATTAAGAACACTGTGTTCATTCAGAATATTTTGTTCACTTCCAATTCTAACTCACAAAAAAAGACCATACATACTGGCCTGACAGAGACTGGAGAAACCCCGCGAGTGTGGTCCCTGGGCACCGCTTCAGCTCAGCTATGAAGTTACTCCTGGGGTTCACCCTTCAGCCAAAGATTAGACACACCCATAAAACAAAATGAGACTAAAGGGGCACACCAGCCCAAGGGCAAGGACTGGAAGGCAGGAGGGGACAGGAAAGCTGGTAATAGGGAACTGAAGGTCAAGAAGGGAGAACGTTGACATGCCATGGGGTTGGTAACCAATGTCATAAAACAATATGTGTACTGTTTAATGAGAAGCTAGTTTGTTCTGTAAAACTTCATCTAAAGTACAATTTAAAAAAAAGAATATTTCACTTCCTATAAAAAGTAGTGAATAAAGCAGTTTCTCAAAACACCTATGAGGCACAAAAGAGGCTGTAAAAAATACTGATTAAATTAAATCAAACTTTTATATTATTATAAAGTTTCAGATGTCTTTATCTGACTGCACAGTATCTTAATATTTTCTAGAATTATTTGAAGGTGGAAGCTTCTCATTAAAGATTTTAGAATGAAATATGAATTTATTTCTGCATCTCAAAGAAGATAAAACTGCAGAATAAATAACATGCAAGAACATACTGAGATGAGATTTACGTAGTCAGGAGAAAACATAACGAAGAATTAGTGAAAACCACACAAAAAACTAACAAAGTTTAAAAGTAGTAACTACAGAGAATAAAAAAGACACGCAAGAAAAGCAATCATAACACTATACTACATGGCTTACAGCGTTCACAGAGTAATAATTATTTAAGTACTGTATACGTATTGATCTAATCAAAACTATGATATAAACATACAGGGTTAGAAATGCACGTGTAGAGTGACGAGAAGAGCAGGAAGAGATGTGAAAGGAAGCTAAACCTTCATCTTCCATAGGGGAAGTCAAAAGATGATGCCTCAAATAAATATACGAATATATAGAAATAAAAATCAAGTCATTGCAGTATAAGCAAATTATTGTTAAGATACAGTAGTAAATACCACAAGAATGAGCTAAAAGAGTTGGGAGTGGGAAACAGAAGTGGAGAAGGAGTGAAGAAATGATACTTTTCATTGTCAGTATTCCGGAACTATTTGGTTCTTTAAGCTATGTGCATGCATAAATGATAAAAATGAGAGTGCTATTAAAAAATAAAGATACTTTCTAAGACAGACCAAGAGTAGCAAAAAAGAAAGAGAGACAGAGGGAGAGAGGGAAGGAAGGAACAGCTTGAAGTATGACAACTGAAAGGGGAGAGAAAAATAAATAAATACAGAAATGAATATAATATTAAGAAAAAGCCCTGGGTGAATAAGGCTAGCCAAGTTTGCTGTATTTAAGAGTGAAGAAGCAAGATAATAGTAATTCTAATCTTCATCCTATAATACTGTTTTTAGATGAGATTGTGAGTCTCAAAATAACCTTATAAACTCTTAGATATAAATAAATGTATTTTATCAATTAATTTATTCACAATCTCATTTCAGAAAGGAAAAGATTTCAAGGCACCTTGAAAAGGCAAGTAAAATAGAAAAGGACATAAACCTAAGTCAGGAATAAAAGTAAGAATGAACAGTCACAGACTAAAAATGCAAACCTACATCCAAATATGGTCAGATTTGTTATGAATAAAAGAAAAGAAAAAAATACTTTTTAAAAAATTATAAAATAGAAATAATTAAGATTCTAAGCATCTCTTAATTCAAGATATTAAGAGCTAGGGAGGCCAGCTCTACTCCTGAGTCTGTATATTTATGCATTCAGTAGGCACTCAATAAATACTCAATGGCAAGTAATCAACTCCAACAGTATCAGATTATTCTGTATAGATGATGAAATGCATTTTCTTCATTTTGAGAAAGTGTTTCAGAGCCCTCAATGCAAATTTAAAGCTTTCACATTATTTATAATTGCAAAATAGGAGTACATGGGCCTACTGCCAGGTAAACCAGAACAACTAATGCCAGCCTAGGGTGACACAATCAATATTAATCATTAATTTCCATAAGGTAGATGAGTATTTGTAGTACATATATACATCCTTCTTGAAATTAGGTATATGTAATTAATGATTATATTTAAAGCTGCATTTTAAAGTATTAATGTTTTAATAAAGCTGTGTATTGGAAGGAAAACCAGATGTATCCCAGAAAGTCCCTCGTCACAACATAACTGGATAAAGTCTGTACTCTCTCATGTCTTTGGGGGATATTTGGATATTTCAGTCTAAATAGATAATTAGTAATACATCAAAATAGAAGAAACCATTAGCCAGTAAATGGCTGAAATATCGAATGTTAAGATTCAGTAATAACAGCTAATAAATTTTATCTGACAACTGAGATAAGAGAATAAAGATATATATATTCAAGAATTTAGATAAAACCTCTAATCTGGGTGCTGGGATAGCTGTTTTTACCTTTGGATAGAAGGAGAAAATAAAGAATAGATGCTTTTAGGCAGGTATATATTATAGCATGACTACATATAGTACACTCTATAAACAGTGCATACAAACCATACTTAACAGATAAGTTGTTGGCTTGAATGGTAGACAACTAATACAATAGGGAAGGCTGGATTGGATGACCTATTTGAACAGAAAATGCCAGAGCTGAAGGTAAGTTCATCAACTTGAGAGAAGATCTATCCCACTGATTCACAGTGTTAAGGGTACAGATATAGTGTTGATGGTGTTAAGTTCTTGATTTAACTCACATGGCTTGAATTTAAATTCTCCTAAATATTTCATATAATATCCACTGAATTAGACCAATCATCACAGAAATCTCAGCTCTAGCACTTCACAATAATTTCATTAATACCCTTCCCTTCCTCAGTTTTTCTCCTTCCGATCAATCCTACTTAGTAATGTCAGCCTAAAGTGTCTACAATACTGTTCTCTTGCTCAAGAACATTGAGTAGTCAATCATGGTGTTTTTCAAACTCTATCTGTGGAGCTCTAAGGGTTATAAGGCCTCCACAGAAAATGTTTCGGAGATAGGGAGGTTCTATTTATCTCTCACATCTCCCTCACATCGACTTCAACCAGAATTGTTGGACTTTAATCTGTTTTACCTATAAGATGAAATTTTATTTAAATAAAATGTTCTGAGGCTAAAATAGTCTGAAAAAGCTACAGGTATATCACAACAACCCCAGCCTGCCTCTTTCCAAGATATAACACTCCATAATCTGTTCAACCAACTCATTCAACGTTTTCCCTATGAGTCTCTGGCAGTTCCTTCCTGCTTCTTTACTCATACTACATGCCACACTCCTTTTCTCTCCAACCATTCCAAACTACTCAGAATTTCCTGAACCAGCACGCACTCTCACATCACGGTGCCTCTACACATGCCGGTCCATATTCCTGGAATTCTATCCTGAATTCCTTTTTCCTTATCACTTACTGGCCTTCCATACTTGATAAATTTCTATTCACATGTTCAGACTCAATTCAAATTGCACCTTCCCAGAAAGACTATCCCCATTCCACAACCTACTCTGATGGGGCTAGTGGTCCCTCCTCTGTGTGCATAAAACAGTATGGACAGGCTACTATTTATACTAGTCTGCAACAGTTTGTTCACATACCAATCTCTACATTACACACTGATTCCCTTGATCAGAGGGACTGCTTATACCCAACATAAAGAAGGTATTCAATAAAGATGTGGTAAATAAAAACTAGGGAAATATTTATTTCACTATGGGCATAGAGAGTAATAACGATTAGTCCTCACACCTGAATTTCATCTCTCATGAACCTATGATGAATTTCTTTCCTTGATTTAATACCCATGCCTGCGTGGTATGTTCCACAGGCTAACTTCAGTTTCCTAAGTTCATCTGTGACTTGTTCTGTCATTTTTCTGGAACAACAGTAGATGATAGTTGGGCCTTCAAATTCCCAGGAAGAACTAAAGAATAAAAAAAGAACAAACATACATATGACCAGTTTGGGTTTTATCTTATTTAATTTTCTCCTTCTACTTTCTAAGTAAAAGACCAAAAAGAGAAAGCATTAAAATATATATATATCTATATATATTTTTAACCGCATAAAAATCTAAAACTTTACAGAGAGTCAAATATGGAAATAAATTTTAAGCCTCAAAAAACCTTTGATTCCATTTTGGTTAAAACTGCAGTTAAACTTATAAACTACTGATACAAAAACTTTTGGGAATGAAAAGCACTAGATTAACAATTAGTCCAAATTTATAAGAGAGGAAAGTTAATATTTACATAGGAGGAGTATGCATAAAATCTATTACAGTACTCTGTCTTCAGATCATAAAGTTGAGTTTCTGTGTCTGTTTACTAAAAAAACCAAAAAGCTTTCTTATATTGAAAAATTACTTTTATATCAAATAAGTGCTTAATAGTAATATTGAGACTACGAATGGTATAGAAAATGACACGTGAGACTGTCTGTTGTGCAATCTGTACTTATTTACTTAAAAACAGAAATGATTTCCATAGAACATTTATCTAATTGCTCAATATATTCATTTACATAAATACATTCATTTATATTGACTTATTCAATATAAAAAGGCTGTACTGACTATTTTAAATTTAGAGAAAGTTACTTTATTTGATTTTAAATGCAGAGAGCCTTTGGTCCAATTTTGATTTTAGGAATTTAGTTTACAAAAATTCTTGCATAATTGCCAAAGATATACATACACCAATATCTACAGTGTAATAGGAAAAGATAATCTAAATTTTTATCGTTACGTACATTCATATTATGGAATACAGCGCAAACACTAAAGAAATTAAATGTCTGCAAAATCATCAAGAAGGATTTTGGCAATAGGAGTCACTGAAAACTTAAACGGGGAAAAATAAGGTGAGACTAACTGCAAGAGTCCTACTGAGTGATTTACTCACAGCAATTTTTTATAATGACCAAATGGGCTTCAATATTTAAAATCAACAGTAGATAACTTCACAGAGTAAGGGAAAAAAATACAAATCATTTTTTAATGTACAAAAACCTTATTTTAAAAGGAGATTTTCAAAGAAGAAAAATTGCTCACCAAAATCTGAATATTGTGATAGCCTATACATTAAGACTCTAAGAAAACAAAATACATCGACACATAGCAAAAATACCTCAAATGAAAGGAGAAAGCTGCAGAAAAAAAAGAATGTAGTAAGAAACGATTTCTATATAAACTTAACAACAACAAAAACAAAAAATTAAGAGTGTATATCTGTACAGCAAAGTCAGAAAAAAGTCTATTAAGTTAAATTTCAAAAGATCAACAGTGATTATAACTGAGGAATTGAATTGGTAGAAGTACTTTGTAATTTATATGCATCTGTGCTGTTTGAATGGTTACTAAGACTATCACTCTTTAAATTAAAAAAAAAGGTAGAAAACATTCAAAAATTTGAACTTATGTACCATATATGTCAAAGGAGTAAAAAACTCCTATTATAAAAGGATTCACTACTTTGCCAAGTGATTTACTAAGGACTGTTACTTCCTCACAATTTTCTGAAGAAAAAAATCTATCCTTCTCTATCTAATCATTAAATTAGATAAATAAGAGAGGCTCATCTATCTAATTTAAATGTATTGTGAATACAGAAACAAAATAAAGTCACATCAGCTCGATGAATAGAAAAAATTGAAATAAAAGTCACATCAGCTCAATGAATAGAAAAAATTGAAATAATACTGATAAACAAATGGCAGAATTCAAGGAAAGGGAGAAAATAGAAAAAAAAGACAATATGCTGAACCCTTAATACCCTCCACCTCATTGCTGATTAAGATGAAAATTTCTATTTGACTAAGAACTATCAAAAGTATTCTAACTCTTCAGTGTTTCCCTGTTGCCATAATCCTTCTTACAGGGTTGAGAATGGCTTTAAAATCTTTTTTGATTTGCTTTTAGAAAAACCATTTTCATATTAAATACAAAGGTCCTGAATACTAGTTCTCAGGAGTCTTGTCTTTATTCAATAGGAAAAAGGAGCCACTGGAAAGAAACTCCAAGACTTAGAGCTGTGGTTTCGAATGATAAATTTGGAAGTTGTGTATAGAATGCAACAGGGAGCACCAAGGAGGAGAGAGATCTGTTAGGAGACATTATAATAGTCTGGGCCAAAAAGCAGTAAGGACCTCAATTAACAGAATTCATGAGAACTTGAAAATAGAAGAAAACAATTTATAAGATACTGTAAACGGACAATAGTGTTAGATAGAAGAAGAGAACATAATGTCACAAAAATGAAAAACAGTAAACATATTTCCAAAAAGAAAGTTATTATTGGAGGAAAGTATCACAGAGATTAAAACAAATCATATGAACTGAAAAGATCAAAGGTTGGAATAGACAATGATCTGATAGTAGAGATCCTCGCCTACAACAGTCTTCTAGAGAACTTCTTCCTCTAGGATGGAAGGGAAGTGACACACACGAGAACTCACTCCAGAGAGAGACTACCAGAGCAGCACAACACTCAGAATGCACTGTTACGTTCTTGTTTTACTATTAACATGGGACAATCACGCCAGTAGCAAATTCTTCATTTAAATCCCTCCTTAAGGTCCTCAAGAATAACTATAGGATTTCCTTAACCTAGGATCTTTTCTCCTTTTTTTCACTTTCTGAAAAAGAAAGCACCAATGATGTTTTTTAAACCCTATTTGCCTGGATATTTTTTATGTTTATATTGGTAGGAGAAACATTATTTTGATGACTTAAAAACAAATTTTACAACAGGCAAATTATAAGCTTTTCACTGAGTAGACAAATTAGGGAATGAGGCTAAGAGAAGAAGAATCTTAGCATACATAAAACACTTTTAAACAAAACAAATAGAAAAAAGTATTAGTGACAGCTTGGTCATCACTGGAATGAAAACAATATGTAGATTTGTGAGCAGTTATAAGGATTAAACCAGATCACTTATATAAAGTGCCTGGGATACTTACTGGCACATGATACAGGCTCAAACATTGTTAACTAAGATGACTTTTTAAATGCTCCCTAATACTCAAGTTAGTCACGTAATTAGTGAACAAGATAGAATTCAGATGACAGATACATTTTTTGGGGGGTATACTTGCCAATTGCTAAAAATATATGTCCTGTTCAAGTAACAGTATGGAGTATAAAAACATTAGCAGGATTAGTTTTTGCCTTCAAAAATAAGACTTTTCCCCCAGAGTATGGCCCCCAGATACCCTTTTAGCTCAATACTAAAGTCACTTCTGAGGTTCACCCTTCAGCCAAAGATTAGATAGGTCCATAAAACAAAATGAAACTAAATGGGCACAGCAGCCTAGGGGCAAGGACAAGATGGCAAGAGGGGACAGGAAAACTGGTAATGGGGAACCCAAGGTCAAGAAGGCGAAAGTGTTGAGTGTCTTGGGGTTGGCAACCAATATCACAAAACAATACGTGTATTAATTGTTTAATGAGAAACTAATGTGCTCTGTAAACCTTCATCTAAAGTACAATACAAAAATAATAAGACTTTTTCCTAAATTACTGAATTGATTATATAACATCACACTTTACTTGAACAAAAGCTAGGTAGATTTTGAAATATGTTAAATATGTATGGAAGGAAAGAGTCAAAAATAAAATAAAATAAATTTTTAAAAAGAAGGAAATAGTTACTAAAATTCATCAACCATTAAATCTTTACCTTGTCTTTTTTATAAGAAATTGTTTCAGATCCTGAAGGATATTTCCTGTTTTTCGTCCAACTTCTAAGTACAAGTTTGGTCGATCAAAACTAGTACATGTAATCCGAGGATTCTTCAGTTTTAAGCAAGATATAATGTCTTCCCGGATTGAAGAACTTGCAGTAGCAGTGAGCGCAACAATTGGAACCTGAATTAAGTAAAACTGATTTTAAAAACAGGAGAGAGCTCATTTAATTCCCCACATTTCTACCGCCTGCTTAAGAAGAGACTGATAAGACAACTACCAGAAGTACGGTGCCAAAACGCAGCCTTGAAATTACTCTTTTATAAATAAGAAAAAGAATTTCCTACTTGTTTCCAGTCTTCTGAATCTAATATTTACTTTTTTAAAATATCAAAAATTGTTTAAATAAAACACTAATAAGGGTTTCCAAAAGTAATCCACCTGGTCTTATTAAATTAAGCCTGCTTAGCCACCTATTGGAAACCCTGGTGGCACAGTCGTTAAGTCCTACAGCTGCTAACCAAAAGGTCGACAGTTCGAATCCACCAGCTGCTCCTTGGAAACTCTATGGGGCAGTTCCACCCTGTCCTATAGGGTCGCTAGGAGTCAGAATCAACTCGACAGGAACAGGTTTAGTTTTTTTGGTTTAGCCACGTATCTCTCCATTTGTTATTTTTAACATTTATTACATTTGTAACAGTGCTGATATAAACAGGGGTATGCTATGCCTTATTTTTTACTAATCTAAAATTCAAAAATCATAAATGCTTAAAATTCACTGAAAATCTAAATATACAAAACAATGGGTCTTTTTTTTGCCTCTTATATTAAATATGATGGTCCCTGGGTGGTACAATTGGTTGCACTTGACTAACCTAAAGGTTGGTGGTTCAAATCAACTCAGAGGCATTGCAGAAGAAAGGCCTGTCTGATCTGCTTCCATAAAGACTACAGCCAAGAAAATCCTACAGGGCAATTCTACTTTGTAACACTGGGGTTACAACGAGTTAGAATTGACTCAACAGCAATGGGTTCGGTTTTTGGATTTATATATTGGTCTATGGCTTCTCAGATCTAGAAGCAAGGCTCCCAATGACCTGGAAAACCTCTCTGTAGTGCTACTAAGTTAATCATGGCATGCTATATATAAAGTATAAAATGAAAAATGTAGTATTAATCAATCCACTGGGGAAACAAATCACGTTCTATTTTCAATCTAGCAAGTACTTCTTGACTGGATTAGCAGCCAAAGGAGGAGGCACAGCAGGTACCATGAAAAACATGAATATGCAAACTTTCAGAAGTTCTAAAGTAGGACAACAAAATACCTCCCATAAAACTAGATTTAATATTTTTGCCCCTATTATCATAGAGTTGTAATCAGTAATGTATTATTTCACAATCAGAAAAAAATGAACCGTCTTAAAGTCAGTTCTAAATCATTAGATGTTCTATCTCCAGAAATACAGCTTTCTTTAAAATATTCTTTTTGGATCATTACAAAATAGCTCTTTAGATACATTGTATCTGCCTCACAAACCAGGTTAAGCTAAGTATCTTGTGTGTAAGTGACAATTTATGTGCAGTTTGCCCATTTGCAAAGAAGTGTAGAGTTTGACTCAAAATTAAAACAAGATACAACTTATTAAAATTAATATAGCTTTACTGAATTAAAAACTTGATCAAAAATTCCATCAAAATTTATGAAAAAACAATATCAATTAAGTTCAGGGGTAGTTTTTTAAAATATATAAAAAAAAAAAAATTAAGTCAAAAACAGCGTGACCCGGTTACTGGCATGATTTTTGCATTCTCTATTCTTAAATTTCATAAAATTATTTTTAAATGCAGCCCTCAAATTAATTTCATTGATTTCTGGCTTACAATCAGACTGCTCTCTGAATTTAAAGACTGACTGACTGGTAATTTATACATAAACAGGCCAATTTATAAAGGAGTTAGTCTGTCTAATAAGGCCTTAATACAGATATATCTGTGTTAATATGCAGGTGCTAACAAATCTAAGGATGCGAATAAGGGAAGTTTAAAAAATTAGAAAGTCCTTAGACCATGTACATTCTCTCTCACAACACAGCATTTTCATCACTTTATAAATCAAACCATTTATAAATGCATGAATAAAATACTTAATTACACATGCAGGTAGTTAATGATTTCTCAGACAGAGCCTATGAGAAAAGAGTTTGATTTGTTTGTAAGCAATACAATGTATGAGTAAATGGCAACGCATGTACGACAGTAAGAAAATAAGCATGAAACGTTACATCTTCAAGAAGTCAACGGAAAATTCAGGGAAAATACAAGCAGAGTTTAAAAAAAAATTTGACTTAGAAATGATAACCTGAATTTAAATCCTGCCTTACCACTAGCCATGAGATCTTGAGCAACTTATTTAACTCTCTGAGCTTCCAGTTGCCTGATCTATAAAACAGCTTTAATAACAGCACCAATCTCATAAGGCTGGTGTGAGGATCAAATGAGATAAAACATATAAAGTGCTGAGTGTAACGCACGGCACTCAGTAAGCACTGAGTAAGTTTCAGTTATTATTGAGACTGTTATTGCAACAACTGGAAAGAACTCTACTCAAAGACTGCAGAGACATGGGCTGTACTCCCAGAATTGTTACTGACCTTCGGCAAGGGCTAACTTCTCTGGGCCTCAGCTTTTTCATCAAAACACGAGATGGGGAGGACTACATGATCTGTTGGACCTTCCCTCAGCTGAAAACTTCTCTGACTATGCCACCCAGAAACTCCCAATTCCAGCGACCTACTAACCGAAAATCTCTACAAATTCACTCTTTTGCCTCCAACATTGTAGAAAGTCACAGTTAAGAATGTTGCTTCCATGTTCAGAAAACAGAATAAAGTAATGGAAAATATTAGAATTAAAGAAACAACAGTGATTTACTTTGACTTCAGAAACAGAATCTCTTCTCTGATAAGCTTGGGCGCTTTATGATGTTTGAAATTTACAAACTAGCGTGAAGCATAAAAACAACTGTAAGGCAGGCTATGAGAAGGACGGCATACATCCTGGTTTGCCTGGGACCCTCTCAGTCCACACTTGAGCTCACAGCCTCACTATTAATAGCTTGTACCCTTTGGGAGCCCTAGTGGCGCGGTGGTTAAGAGCTACGGCTGCTAACCAAACGGTCGGCAGTTTGAATCCACCAGCCGCTCCTTGGAAACCCTATGGGTATAGTTCTGCTCTGTCCTATACGGTCACTAGGAGTCGGAACCGACTCGACGGAAATGGGATTTTTGTACCCTTTTATTTTCAAAGGCAAACTGGTTTGGATGACAAATTATACTGTCACCTAGTTGTATCACGTTTTTAACTCACGGAACTTATTTTTTTAAGTTGGCAAGTCTTGATATCCTTGGTAAGAGGTACCAAGTGTTGTTAAAACAAGCCACAAATATAAATCTTGTAACTTTATGAATTTAGAAATGACTTAGCCATCCACTTCAATAATGTAGCACCCACAGATTCAGAGAACTATAATTATTCCATCTGTTTCTAAATTTATGTCATGTTGCTAATTCTAACTCTGTACTCCATAACAGCATGCTTCATTCATTCATTCACTCCAAACAGTTACTGAGTGTCTACTACGTACTGAGCTTTGTGACGGGCACTGGGGAGAAAGTAACGAACATGTTTCATGGATTTCACAGTTCCTCTTATTTAAATTTTACTGAATTTTAATATTGATGTGGAGCTTTCTGTCTGGCTGCTCTTTCGCTGGACTCATTTTGCCTGATTCCCTCCAAATGAGAATCTTTGTGCCAAACAGTTAGTGATTTCTTTACTATTTTTGAACTTACTGAAATAATATAGTATGAAACATTCCAGATCTACACCAGCTGTCACAATGTAACTGGAATTGGAAGGTGGGGGGAAGCAATGAAAACAGTGAGGAAAATAACAGTCCTACAACCAGCAGGTGGCATTCCTCATCATTTACCTAAAAGAGAGGATTCAGGAAAATACCAGGGAACACTGCTGGACAAACACCCTGCCCTGGAGGCTCAACAGAAGGAATGTGCTATATTTAACCACCCAGGACATGAAAAAGATAAAAAGAAGACCATAGCCAGACATAATAAAAGATTTAATTCAACACTGAAAACTGTTTAAGAACTGCATAAAATATTTAAAATTCCTTTAACATAATCTTAGAATTAAAAGCCTAGGAAAGGATTACAGGAAGCAATCTCCCTAGTTCCCAAAAGCTTACTTGAAAGCATACTAAATTAATAGAAATCAGTCCTCAAGTTACACTGTGTCTAGTGACTTCCATCACAGAAAAATCCCTTCTTTCTCTATTAGCTGTACTATGAACACTACTAATCTTTCGATAATATTTAGACCACTCCATACATCACATTTACCATTTGTTACTATTGCTCCTACTTTTTATAGGTATGAATCTAAACTCCTTTACTATACTACTTACAGGCAGAAACCATGTTTTACACCTCTTTCAAATCATTTGCTTTGGAAACTAGCCTGTGTCCTACTGTATAGTTACTGCCCAGCTCTACCGATCGCTATGTATGTGGGAAAGTGATTTCTCCAGTTCTCAGCTTTTTCATTAGAATTCATTCTTTATTCATCCATTTATTGAACAACTACCATGTGCCAGGGGGTGTTTTAAGTTTTATAAACCAAATAATCAAAAATCGCCCCCAAAGAACATTCTAGTAAGGACTCACAAACAATAGGTAAAATATAACATTGTAAGTTAGACGGTGATAAGTGGTATTAATAAAATACAGCAAAAGAAGATGGGGAATGTTGGTCAGCTGGGAGTTTAATTTGAATTTTTGAATATGGTAAACCAGAAGGCCTAAATGAAAAAGTGATACTTCAGCAAAGACCCGAGAGAAGTAAGGGAGCATACCACGTGAATTACGTGGGTGAAAAGTATTCAGAGAGAGGGAACAGAGGAACGAGGCCATTGTAGGAACATGCCTGGCATGTTGGAAGAACATCAAGGAAAACAATGTGGCTGGAACCCAGTGAATAAGGGTAGCAAGTAGCAGAAGATGAAGTCAAAGAGAAAACGGGAGACTAGATACAGAAGATATTACAATGACTTTCCACTATTCAGAGTGAAATGGTATGCCACTAACGGGCTTTGAGCAGAAGAC